GTTAAAAAGTGTATATATGCCACTAGGATGTCAAAAGTTACTAATACTTGTATATATACTGTGATGATGCTTATTGAGAGTAAAGTTATTCTTTACTAATGTATGATGAATCTGACTTTGATCAGATGTCGGAAATGAAAGACAAAGGTAAGAAAGTCGAAATTGTTTAAAAGAAGGTTGAGATTGAAATCGACAAAAAGGGACCGATATGACTTATGTAAAACACCTTAGAAGGGTGGAAGTTGTAAGAGATTTTTCTCCATTTTGTTGAAGATTCTGAATGGAAGAATCGATTACAAAAATTGAATGACTTACAAGATTCTGTAGCAATGAACAGTAACCACGTTTGTTAAAAAATTTCCAGTATGTAAAAGGGGTACCGATTCCCCTGCTACAGGAATCGATTCCCCCACTGTTCACTGTTTACGGGTACTGTTCACTGTTATTATTCACTATTCATAAAAAAATCTTTTGAATTAAATTTGTTATAACATAATATTCTTTATATGATATGATATTTATAATATCAGTTATCATTTTAAGAAAATAAATTTTTTAAATCGGTTTTGAATTGTAAAATGGTTTTAGAAATTCGGCTAACATCTATAATTTGTTTAGGTATAATTATAAAGATTATGGGTGTTACAGTCATGGCCAGAGTCGTGCCTATGTCTCCAACCATGACCAAATAATAAAAAAATGCAGAATGCGCCCTTTTTACTACTAATTCTGAAAAGTAAGACCCTGCACGAATATAAGTATAACACAACCAAACCAGCAGCAATAAATCCATAAGATCGAAGATTGAACAAGAAAATAATATCGATTTAGAACACTTATCACGTATCAGGGTTGGGTACGGGCTGGAGGTGTTATAGTTCGACGACGACGATGACAACCGATGATGGTCGGTGACACTAATGAGAGTTGGGATTAGGGTTAGGGATTTAAGTTTAGAGATTTGTGGGGATTGGGACGACGACAAGAGGGATGATCGACAATGGAGGTCCGACAACAGATGGGTGGTCGTTTGACGATGGTGAAGGCGGACGGTGATGGCCGACGACTGATATGGGGTTTGGAATTAGGGATTTTAAGGTTCTAGGGTTTATTTGCAATTTAAAAAATTGTGTTTTTTTATAAATTAATAATATTCTTAAATTTTTAAAAAAATAAAAAAAATTCAAAAAATATGAGAGCGACACGTGTCACTTAACGGCTAAATTTAACATTTCCTACAACCTAGACACCTAAAAGTGTAACATTGGAAACGTTATCCACCTATTTTTAACAATTTTTTTAAGAATAATTAATTATCATTTCAAATATAAACTTTTAAGCCATAATGATTGAATAAGTTTATATTATTGTTCATCTTTCTTATCCTCCAATTGCTTTTCTCTTGGGGTTGTAGGATGCCTCTCTTTATTTTAAATCAAAGCAAAGCATTATATGTTAAGCACGGTCCAATTATTCCTTCAAGCCTCACTCAAAACAAGATGTATTAAGTACTAGAAAAGTTAATCTCATGTGCATTCTTGTTTTTATATTTAAAAAAAATTAATATTTTTTATTAATTTAATATCATAAACTAACTGCGATGCAAAACACATTAAGTGTATGCTACAACATTATAAATGACCTCATATGTAATTTACAATAATGAGTCATTTTATAAAGTGTAAACTATACAAATGGTCACTAATGTTTGAGTATATTTTTGTTTTCCCCATTGAAATTTCAAAAGTAATAAGTTAATTACTAATATTATCGATTTGTAATAAAATGATAATTAATGTTATTGTTTTATAACAAATCGGTCACTCGACCGTTAACATCCATTACCCCAGTAACAAAAGGGTGATGTGGCACGTTACGTACTTAGGTTGACTTGCTTGACAAAGTCTGACCTTACAGGTTTAATGGAAATTATTCTTTCTTTATTTTTCTGCATTTGTTCCACCACCCCGCGGTCCCCACCAGCACGGTCACTAATTAGACCCTTGATAATGAAAGTCCAACCGAATGTAAGCAGCTGATCGTCACCGTAAAACAACCTGAACACGTTAGAATATACATTGTTACCCACAAATCCAATGTAAGAAGTAAAACCGGTTACATTTCAAGCAAACTCAGCGAGCAAGCTATGAACATATCGACAACACTGGGATACACCACTCCAGTGACCTACAACTATTTGAGGATGACTTAGGCAACCTCCACCACTCAATGCTTGGAATTCTTAGTCTCATTGCTAAAACTATCATTCGATGCATCATCATTCTAAGACGAATCAAACCCTTCTTTAATCTCACTTTATTGACCAACATCGCATCCTCTTTTAAAGCATCAACTTAGCCACTACAAGTAGCATAAAATTTAGGGATAGGTTGGAGTTATCATTGTTTACCTGATATTAAAAATTCAATCTGAAGCTTGAATTGTTCATCCTCAAGATTAATGTCAATAACTCTTCAAATGATCTTTACATGACGGTAAAGCATGAAACATAATAACAATGCATATATTTTCATGGCTGTCAAACCCTCCCACTTTGAGGCACCTCTAATGGTATACCTATCGCAAATGGTGGTGACACTGAGGAAAATTTGGTTTAAACTACATTAAAATCAATATTGTATGACGGGTTGTAATGTAGATGATCAAATCCTGCAGCTTTCTTAATCTATAACCATCTATTTCTAGAACCCAAAATCTTAATGTTGCTTATATTTAATCATCACATAGCTTTACAGAATCTAGTTAGCCTGCAACTTGAGGTATGCAATTCAAGCAGCATCACTTTTTTGTAAAACATCCTCGTTGATCTTCAACAAGGCCTCGGAGAATTTGTTTAGTCTATCAAGAACCCAAGTCAAACTTGCTTGTATGGAGCTCAAGGTGGAAGAAACATCATCATTTGTATCACCGTATGTTAATACATAAAGGCCATCTTTGTTTCTTCTGTAGTTTGGATACTTGTTGCTCCGTCAAATGAAAAATATCAGATAAAAAGGCTTTAATCCCAACGCTAAGTTCCTCAGCTGACAAGGTTTTCAACCTAGCTGACCATTCAAAACATGGAAAAAATATCTATCGCTCGTATCCTAGGTATCAATGAGGTGAGAACGGATATCAGTTCTTCGATGAAAAAATGAACATCAATAGAGAATGGATCTTCGTAATTAGAATTCGATCTCAGAGGTTCTGAACATGGAGGAGGATATTTTGTTCATGAAAGGAATCAGCAAAATAATAAAAAAGGACTTACAAAATAATAAACTCCCGAGCCATATTGAACAAAAAGGACTTACAAGCACAAGTGAATGCGAGATGTGTATGTATAAAACTTGACGTAGTGGGATACAATGAGGCTTTATTTTGAAATAATTTTCTTACCGCGTTCATCTCATTCTATCCCATTTATAATGCTTTTCCCCAATTGTAGAAGATGTTGACGATGACAACAATGCCTGTACGGGCGCGAGTATGATACTTTGCACATGAATCGTGCGAATTGTTTTTAATAGTTTATGATGATTACAAAATAGTATAGGTTTATAATATTTCTTAATTATTGATAACATACATATGTCCTATAGGCATCTGCACGAGTATGATACTTTGCACATGAATTTTTACTATAGATGTAATATCCTCAAATTGTAACAAATTATTATTTGATTAGTCGGTTCGAATTTTCTAACTTTTCAAAAAGAAAAAAGATTGGGTCGAAATAATTTTTGAAAATATATTAACTTTTGTTAAATAAGATTAATTTGAAAATTAGGTTGAAAATAGAGTTGAAGGATTTTTGAAATAATTAATAGATAATCAAATTAAGTGGATTTGTTAAAAAATATGAAATATTGGTGTTTAATGTAAAGATTTTTTTTGAATTGATAAAAAATAACTATTTTTATAAAAGGATCAATTACAAACTCTTCAAGGAAAATTATACCAAATTTTCAAAAGGTGGTTTTCTTCTTCCAATTTGATTCTAAAATATCGTTCATTCTAATTTCTAATTTATTTAATCAATTTTCTAAATGCTCTATAATTCCATTTTATTTAATAACCTCCAAACAATCTTGATTTTAAAATCTCCTAAATACTTTATCAAAATTTTGGGAAATTCTCTCATCCTTTTTCATGTTATTTATTATTCTTCAAAGGATTTTTCAAGATTTATTCCATCTTTTTTTTATTCATTAAAGATGAGGCAATTTCATCATCTCTATTATTAAATCCTTGTGATTTTTATTTTTAAATTGAGTGTTGATCCATTAAAATGAATTTTCTAATTTTTATTAATAATCAAAATGAAAATCAAATCAATAATGGTGATTTCTGATTTTTTGAGGTTTTAAACTTGGTTTCCAATTGATTTCTAAAGTATGTTACATCTATTATGATATATCTAATCTTATTTTATCAAGTTACAACATATTTTTAGTGGAATTTGAAGATCAAGAATGATCAAAGCTTGTTTTTAGCGATTTTTCTAGAAAATGGGTTTTCTTAAATCTAGGCTAATTTGATGCTTTAGATTCATTCTAAAAATCATTTTTTTGGTAACTAAGGAAAGGAAAAACTGTTCTATCTTCTCTAACTGTGACCTTCCTTGGTCAGGCTATCCTGTACTTCACTCTGCGGTATGAAAACTCTATGGCACCTGTTGTCTTCTCTTGGCGCTAATTTGACCATTCTGTCTGCCACTTGATTTCCTTCATGATGCACGTGATTCAGCTTTACCTCCCAGTTTCTGTTCATCATGTCCCGAATGTGGTGCCGTGTTGTTATTTCAATTGCTGGTTCTGCTTTCCTTTCTAGGTTCCTCCAAATTTCCATGCTGTCGACCTCTAATATAACTTTCCTTTTTCCCATGTCCCCTGCACTCGTGAGTCCTTCCAGTGCTCCCCAAAGCTTCATCTCTAACGCCGAGCATGCCCCGATGTTCTTGTAGAAACCCAGTTTCCATTGTCCTCTTTCGTCTCTAATTACCCCTCACTGGTCACCATACTCGTGTTCCTGTCCCTTGCACCATCTGAATTGATTTTGACCCACCCTGGTGGTGGAGGAGTCCATCTAGTTTTTTGCCTCGTATGTTGTCCTGCATTGGAATTGAGTTGTTTTGCTGCTATGACAGCTCTATTCATCTCCTCTACTAGTCTCCGGCTTCGATCTAGTATTGGTTCTCTCTCAATATTATCTGGGTCAAAAATTTGTTTATTCCTTCGATTCCATATGTTCCATGTAATAGCTCCAAATAACATGTCCCATGCATCGGGGTTCCTTGCGAAGTACGTGGGGCTCGTTAGGTTTTTGTGTTTCCAATCCTTGATGTTCTGTTAAAAATCAATCCCAACCCATTACAAAGCCCAACCTATTTGAAGCCTAAGGTAAATAAAAGTCCAATCCATGTAAGTTTCTCAACAAATGTGGAAGGAAGATATTTTTAAGAGAAAATTAAAAAGTAGATTTTTAGGAGAAATGTGTAGAATGTGGTAATAATGTATAGTTAAGATTATTTCTCAATTTAATATTTGTATGGTGTAGATTGCATGGTGAGGACTATAAATACCTTCCCTTGCATTTTGGTTAGGCATCCTCCAAAATTTGAGTGTAGTATCTTGAGTATAAGTTGTGAGCTTTCTATTGAGTGTTTATTTCTCTTCAAATTGTGAGTGGTTTTTGGAAAGTGTTGTAGTGTCTTTTATTGTGAGTATAATACAAGTAATTTGTTTACTTGTTTGGGTTAAATATTAGTAAATTTAGAGTTGTATAATCTATATTTTACTTGACATGTTCATCGTGAAAAATTCAGCTCGTTTATCCTCTTTAATAAGCAACAACCAGCCGTTGGGCATTTTCTTGGAACATGGTCCATATCTTCTTTTCAGAACCGCATATAGCACAACTTGCATCCATCGCTGTATGCCTTCGAAATATCTTGCTTTTCGTTAGCAATGCTTCCAAGGCAGTTAACCACATGAATGTCTTGATTCGTTGCAGGCGCCTGAACCTTGCGATAATCTTCCACACTTGTTCCTCGTTACCCACTGTTAGCAGTATAGTTAGCAGTATGGTTGCTATAAATGTGTAGTACACATGGCACTAGCTGTGTGCTTAGCTTTTAGGAGTTTGTTACTCGATTGTTAGGGTTTGTTAGAACTATCTGTTGTATGCAATGTGTATAAATGTGGTAAAGCTTTGTATTCAATGCATATTCAAAATATATAATTTTCTGTAGCTTGTGTTTATATTTTCCCTCTTTCCAATATGGTATCTTTTGCCATTGATCTTGGGGCTTTCTGTTTGGCTTCTGTTGCTTGAGTTTTACTATCAATTATGGGGGTTTATCGATGGATTTCTCCACCAGTGCTAAATATTTCTCTAACAAGAAGGTGAATGTCGTCCTTGATGAGATGAATTTTCTTCTTTGGAAGTAGCAGGTTTTGCTCACCATTCAGAGTCATCGTTTGGAGCGATTACTTACAGGTACTGTGGTGACTCCATCGGAGACTATTATCGATGATGATTGCGTTGTTCGTGTTAATGAAGCGTATGAAGACTTTGTGGCTCAAGATAGTGCTCTTACCTCTTGGTTATTGTCCATTATTAGTGCTCATCTTCTTCCTCAGTTTTTCGGAGCTGAATCGGCGGCGACTGTCTGGAATACGGTTCTCCAGTTTTTTACTAATTGCTCGACGATTATTGTCATGAGCCTTCATTACAAATTCAGTCTTTAAAAAAGGAGGAGACAGTATGCGTGCTTACCTTACTCGTGTGAAGGAGGTGTGTGATGCCTTAGCATAATGTCGCAGTGTGGTGTCTCAGTTTGAACACATTTCTAGTATTCTGAAGGGGCTTCCCTGAGAATAACAACCTTTCATTGCAGTTATCACTACCATTAGGGAAACTTTATCCTTAGATAACGTTTATACTATGCTTCTTCATGCATAAACACAACTTGCTAGTTTTGGTGATCAGCTGGAGTCATTGCCGATGAATGCAAATATTGCTCAAGGAGAGATTCAGAGCTCGTTGATGTCAAATAAAAAATCTGATTAGAGATATGCTTATTTGTTTGGCTCTCGAGCTGGAGGTCGGGGTCGTGGCAGATCACAGGTGCAATGTTTTCCTCACTTGCGGCTATTTTAGAATCACAAGTTGTCTTTTAGATCTCAAGCTTGTACTTACTTGGGTATTAGCCCTCAGCACAAAGGGTTCCAATGTTTGGCATCTGATGGTCGAGTTTACGTTTCTCGTCATGTTGTATTTAATAAGAATATTTTACCGTTTGCAGGGACATGGCTTTGTGAACCTTTGAGTTCTGGTGTGAACATGATTCAAACTCCTCAATCTTTACGAGTTGTTACTAATTTCAGGAATCATTGTTTCCAGCGTTTACCTAATGTCCAAAATACTGCAGCTCTGCCCACTGTGAATGATACTGGTGATGGTATCTCTCTTAATCCTCAATATGTGTCTGATGATATGGACACTGTTTCTTCAGAAAATATTTCACCTAGGGAATCTGCTGGTGTCGATATAGAAACTAGGCATGTACGTGATGATTCTGAGAGTGTTGGTGTTGATTCTGTAGCTACTTCAGTACCTGATGTCAGTGTTCCTCCCTCTCGAACTCTTCCTATGCTAACACGTAGTCAATGTGGGATTTATAAACCCAAAATTTTTTCAAGCATTCTTGATGATGATGTTCCTGCCACAATACATGCAGTAGTGCAGTCTTCTCATTGGGCTACAGTTGTTCACGATGAATACAATGCCTTGCAAAAGAATGGAACCTGGTCCTTGGTTCGTCTTCCTGAAGGCAGGACTGTTGTCAGATGTAAATGGCTTTTTAGTGTTAAACGCAATCCTGATGGGTTTGTTCATCGCTACAAAGAACGATTGGTTGCCAAAGGGTTCTCTCAAATCCTAGGGTATGATTTGATGCATACGTTTAGCCTAATTGTTCACTTCTCCACATTCAACACAGTGCTAGCCATTGCTGCCTCTAATGGTTGGGAGCTTAGGCATGTTAATATAAACAATGCATTTCTCAATGGAGATTTTAGTGAGGATGTCTACATGCAACAATCCCCGTCGTTGAACAGTTTGATGAATATGGCAAGCCTCTTGTGTGTAAACTCCAAAAGGCTCTTTATGGTCTACGTCAGACACCTCGCAATTGGCATGTTAAGCTAAAGGACAACCTCTTGAAAATACGTTTTATAGTCTCTCAGGTAGACCCTTCATTATTTCTCAAGCATATAGACAATGGTTATGTTTACATACTTGTGTATGTGGATGATATAGTCATTACAGAGCAGTCTTCCACTGTTATTCAGGAGGTTGTGTCAATGTTGCAAGATCGTTTTTCGCTTAAGGATCTAGGGGAATTGAGATTCTTCCTGGGAATTGAAGTCAAACATGTTGATGGGTCTATCATCTTGAGTAAGAAGAAATATGTACTTTAGTTGTTAGATAAGACGATAATGTTGACAGCTTCATGTTGTGGCAAACCATTGGTTGTGTCATCCAAGCTTTCTCATGAAGAAGGTGACCTTCTTACTAATGCCAGTGACTACAAAAGTATTGTTGGCTCTCTTTTGTATGTTTTCCATACTACACCCAACATTTCCTTTAGCGTGGGACGAGTTTCCCAATATATGCATGCACCATGTGAAGCTCACTTTGTTGGAGTATAAAAGGATACTTCGATATTTAGCCTCCACTCTAAACTTTGGACTTCTATTCTTTCCTGTTAATACTAGATTGAACATTGTTGGTTTTGTTGATGCGGATTAATGTGCTAGTGTTGATGAATGACACTCGATCACTGGGTATCATGTGTTTCTTGGCAAATGTCTTTTTTGCATGGTACTCAAAAAAGCAACGTACAGTCCCCCGTTCCACAATGGAGGCCGAATATAAGAGTGTAGTAGATGCGACTGCTGATATAACTTGGGTAAATGCTATTCTGACCGATCTTGGAATTCAGCAGTGTCGAAAGCATGTTGTCTGGTGTGACAACACTATTGTTGTGGCCATGATTTCCAATCCCGTTTATCATGCTCAGTCCAAGCATGTTGATCTTGATGTGCACTTTGTTCGTGAGAAGGTGGCTGTTGGGCAATTGTGTGTTAGTTATGTTTCTGCCATGCACCAGTTAGTTGATGGATTCACCAAGCCCTTCTCCCGAGCTACATTTGAAGAGTTTAAATCCAAAGTGTGTGTTCATTCTTTTAATTGAGAGGACGAGAAGCAGTAGGGAGAATGATAGAGGTATAGTTAGCAGTATGGTTGTTATAACTGTGTAGTACACGTGGCACTAGCTGTGTGCTTAGCTGTTAGGAGTTTGTTACTTGGTTGTTAGGGTTTGTTAGAACTAACTGTTGCATGCAGTGTGTATAAATCTGGTAAAACTTTGTATTCAATACACGTTCAAGATATATCATTTTTTGTAGCTTGTGTTCATCTTTTCACTCTTTACAATAGCCACCAATTGCTTTGTTCTGATTCCTAGGCCTATTTGACAGAGAATTTCCTGTCAACCTACCACTTCCAGCCAAAAGAACCCCTTGGAATGTTGTATTTGGTGGCTTGACAACCGCTATTTTAACGAGTATGGAGTTTGTAAGTAGTGGTTTTAGTTAATTCCATTTCCAGTCATCGTCCTCATTTACCATGTCGGCGATGAACCTTCCTTCCAGTCGTTGTTTTCTTGATTCCGACACATAGTTGATTAAAGGACCTGTCTCATCCAACCAAGGATCCTTCCAAAACTTGATTGATTTTCCGTCTCCGATGTTCCATATTATGCCCTCACGTACCTCCTCCCATATCCTTCCCAAACCTGGAGCAATTTATTCTGTTGATGGAGTCTAGGATCGCATTTTCCATTTGTATTTGGCGTGCAACAACTTGACTCACAGCTGGTCTTTCTTCGTTAGTAGTTGGAATGCGACCTTCATTAAAAATGCTTCGTTTTGTTGGGCGAGCTTCTTTATCCCCCAGCCTCCTTCCGGTGTTTTTTTTGCACATTGTGTTCCAATTCACTAGGTTTTTCATCCCTTTATCCGAGGAGTGATTCCAGAAAAATCGCCTTATTATTCTTTTAATTTTATAACAGATGCCTTTCGGAATTGTTGCTGATTGCATGGTGTACGATGGAATTGCGGTTAATACCGCTTTTGCGAGCGTGATTCTCCTTTCTAATGATAGTTGTTTCGCTTTCCAGCCGAATAATTTGTTCTGCACTTTCTGCACCAAATATCTATATGAATTCCTAGTTACCTTGCCATGTAAAACCAGTACCCCTAGGTAGTTCCCCAAGTCTTGAACTTCTTTGAACCCGAAGCCCTCTGTAATTTCCGTCCTTAAAGTCCATGGGTACATTATGTTAGAAGAAGATGTTTGTTTTGTCGACACTAACTTTTTGTCCTGATGCTGTGCATAATTTTCCATTACTTTTCAGATAACATTTAATTGTTGGATTAAAGCTTTCGCAAAAAGAATCGTATCATCTGCGAAGAAAACATGTGAGATTTTTGGGTCTTCCTTTGATACCTTGAACGGTTTCCATTGCCCCTTACTCACTTCCTGATTTATTGCCAGTGTCAATCTTTCCATGCACATTACAAACTGGTACTGTGACAATGGGTCACCTTGTCTAATGCCTCTCGTTGGTTTGAATGATTCCATCATTGAACCATTCCAAAGTATTTGTGTGATGACTGAAGACGCACAGTGCATAATCATTCTCCTCATCTTCGGCGAGATTCCAATGTCTTGTAGTGTGTTTTCAATGAAAGACCATTCATGGAATGTACTACTTCTTGCGTAATGCTAATGTTATCAGTTATTGATCGGCCTGGGACAAAGCTGGTTTAAGTATGAGATATCCAATTTGGAAGCAGAGG